CGAGAGTGGAAGAAAAAACTGGATTAGAAAATTCGTAAATGATCTGGCAATTTACACAAAAGAAAGGAGCTGTAAGATCGAAGAACCGGGAGGCAGGCAGGGAGCATTTTCCCCGGAAAATTTAATAACAGCCCGCAATGAAAACAAAAACTTTCGCGTCGGAATAAAAAGGAGTTCGGCGGCAGTAAAATCTACAAATTGGATGGGACGGAAAAGGGAGAATCGATATAAAGTTGCCGACGACGAGCGTCTTTTTTCATACCGTAAATATTCTTAAGTACCGGACGCGACACTAGGGACGATTTAGGGGCGAGAAGGGCCGGTTCCGCTTCCTCACAAAGGGCCCTGACGGACTTCATAAAACGACGACACCAAAAATTCGACGATTGCTGTCCCTTTTATCGTTCACAATGGGCGTGGAAATTCTTCGGATATTTCAACTTATTAAGTTGCGGACGAAAATGCCTTCGCAGTGATTTAAGAGTCACGGAAAAACGGGCCTTAAATACCGATTTTTCAGTCACATGAAAAAGTGGGGAGATTTGAACAGTTTTAAAACCAAAATTTCAATAATTATCCAGTAATTTGTGCAACAAAACTGAATTGAATATTAAAGGTAATAACAGTAACAAAAAGGAGTTCGGCTAACTAGAGGGTAGAAAAGTATAGACCCAATACAGGCCAAATTTAAAAATTACAGAGAAGTTGCGAAAAAACTGAAAAATTCATTTGTATTCGCTTTCCAATTAAACACTAGCAAAGCCTGCGTTACTTAGACCGTCAGTTCCCATTATATTTTTTGTCTACATTAATTTCATGCATAATTTAAAATGTAATAAAGTCGTCATCATCATCAAGTAAGATGTTAGATAGTGCCAATTTGGAGGTTCGCTAACCTCAGGCACCCCCAGGACCGGTTTCGAACCAATTGGCTCTCATCAAAAAATTGTAACTTTCCATGGAGATCAAGCACAAACATGAAATTTGCAGTACGTATAGAAGATATTTGAGTCTTTAAGTTGTGAAAATTTCATTAAATGCGCGAAAAATCTCTCTGTTTGCTAACCAAGTGGATTATGGTTTAAAATGACCAATTTTACACACTTACACAATTTTCTTCAAAAATTGTAACTTTTCCTCGGGATCAACTAGAATCGTGAAAGTTGCG